TTTGCTTTCCTCCATTTCTGTCATTTGTGTCCTGTTTCTTTGTCTCGGCATTTTTTATGCTTCGCTGTGTCGATAGAGTGCCTTTCTGTGCTAAGTGTCCCAATTACCTGAGGTAGACACTCTTGGTGCACCCCCTTGTGGTCTTTGTGCACAGTCTTGTTGTAGTTAAGGCTTGATTGTTGTAGTTATCACTGGGAGGAATTGACCTCCAGGCCAATTGGCTGTGAGAATCAGCTGTGTCTGCAGTGGGAGAACTTCTGTGCTGGAGACACCCCTCTGGGGCAAGACTTGCTTCAATGGGGCTTTGGTGCTCACTGAGTCTGCCCCCTGAGTGTGTCCTTTATGTTTCCACGGAGCTGCAAACTGGATGGTCCCACTCTGACCTCTGGGCTTCCTGGCTCCTGGATCTCTAGGGAGGTGCTAATCTAGCCTTTGCCTGAGGCTATCCAGCAAAAGCCTCCTTGCAGGGCTTGGGCGGGGCAGGTCCCAGGGGATCAACAGGGCGGGGCTAGCAGTTATGGCTGCTCTCAGTCTTGCCCTCAGAGGCTTTGCTTCTCAGTGTCCCGGTAATCGCTGCAAGTCCCTCGGACAGAAAGCTGTGCTCGGGTTCCAACCGATGCCAGACAGTCCCACTTCTCCCGTATGAGTCTGGGTCCCTAGAGACTCTCCCGGAACTGGAGCTCAGAGCCTGAGACACCTTCCCGATTGAAAACGACAACCGCGCCCTCAGCCGCCAGCCCGCTCCGCATGCACTCCGAACCTTAGTATTTTACTTCCGCACCGCGCCTCCTCTGAGTCTGGGTATGGTTTTCTCTTTCCTTCTAGTTGTAGCATTTCCACTCAGCCAGCCTTCCTGTGGTTCTGGGTGATGTCCGTTCCGTCTTTTAGTTGTATTTTTGAAGTGGTTGTTCGAGGCAGCAAACTCTGGTGTTTACCTATGCCGCCATCTTGGGTGTCAAGGTTGTTTGTTAATCTGTGCATCTTCATAGGCCTCAAGGGTGGGAATTGTATTTGCTCACTAGTAACACATCTTGATTCATAATAGGAACTCGGTGTCTGTTGTATTTAATTGAACCCCATCTGTTATGTATATTTTTATTCATTGTTCTCTCATAAGGTAATCTAAGAACTCCTTAATGTATGCCTTTTAATTCAGTAGCAATGGAAATAATAAAATTAAAGACAACTCTAAACATGCACCAACATGTCCTAGGTGCTAAGGATACTAGTACACTCAATATGACAGACATGGTTCTTGCCTTCATGAAGTCTACAGTCTAATGGTGGTGGGAGAAAAGCCGTTTTAGAAGTTTAAAATTGACCAAAATATGGGATACAAAGTAGTATTTAATGCAATTTAGAAATAGATTACACACAGCCCTGGCAAATGTAGCTCAGTGGTTAGATTCCCAGTCAAGGGCACGTACCTGGGTTGCAGGTTCAGTCCCGGCCCGGGGTCGGGGCATGTGCAGGAGGCAACGAATCCATGTACCTCTCTCACATCGATGTTTTCCTCTCTCTCTCTCTTTCTCTCTCTCTCCCCGCCCCCTCTGTTTTCCTCCCTTCCACTCTAAAAAAATCAATGGAACAAAATATCCTCCTGTGAGGATTAATAACAACAACAACAAATAGATCACACAAATATAAATATTTTGAAAATAAATATAAATATTTTTAAAACAAAAAAGGAAATAAAAAACAAAAGAGTAATTTCAGATCACAGTACAATAAAATTAAAAATTACATAATAAAATATAATTCAAAATTATAAAAGATATAAATTTAAAAAAATCTTAACTTGAATCATGAAAAGTGGTATGAACTCCTCCACAAACATTTATTGAGCTACTGTGTTTAAGACATTCTGCTAGGTGCTGAGCACAAGAGAAAATATTTACAAATGGGAAGTAAAGGGAAGAGCAAGAAGTCCAATCTGATTAGAGATAAAGTTTGTAGATGAGATGATAGGATATAAACCAGTTTGGAGCTGACTCGCTTGTTTTACTGAGAACTTTAGATATTATTCTGCAGAAAATGGAAAATTTTTTATGGCTTTTGAGTAGAGAAAGGTTACATCCTACATCCTCTCTGTACTTTTGAAGGATAGAAGTCATATAGATATAATAAAATCTACAGAATATTTCCCAAGTAATACTTGATGAAATTATATCACTCAAAATGTATGTGTGTGTGCATGTATGTGGGTATATATTTTAGCAGATATATACACACACACACACACACACACATACATATACATACACACACAGACACCTATTGTTAACAGTATTACAGAAGTCTCCCATTTCTCCCCTCCTCCCTTACAACCTAGCCCCTACCCACCTTCCCAGGTCTTCACCACCTTATTGAATGTGTCCATGAACTATGCATATAAATATAAGTTTTTTTTTGTTTCTCTCTCATCTCCCCCTCGCCCCCCCATATTGAGGTATGTTAGTCTGTTCCATGCCTCCATGCTTTGGGTCTTATTTTGTTGGTCAATTCATCAAAATGTCTATATTAACAAAAGAATGTCTAGACTGACCGAGAAGGAAGAGTACAATGATTTAAGTTCATATATGAAGAATCCAGAGAAAGAAAAGAATAAGTCAAAGTAAAGAAGGGGAAGAAATGCCAAATATAAAACTGAAACAGTGATTATGAATTCTTCATTTAACAGTATTTGTTGAGTACATACCTACCATAGGTCAGGCAGGAGGCTATGTACTTTGTGCAAATAATAATGAGCAAAAAACACTCAGCACTTTTATTTTCATGGCGCTTACAATAAACTGGGAGAGAAACAGAGATAAAATAATACTAATGAGTAAAAATTACTGAGTCCGCAGGCTGACGCTCAATCCACTGAGCCAAACCGGTTAGGGCAGTACCTATGTTTTCTTCTATTTAATTTATCATTTCAGATCTTATATTTAGGTTTTGATCCATTTTGAATTAATTTTTGTGCATGGCGACAACTGTAATCTAGTTTCATTCTTTTACATGTTGCTTTCCAGTTTTCCCAGCACCACTTATTGAAGAGGCTTTCTTTTCTCCATTGGGTGTTTCTGGCTCCTTTCTCAAAAATTATCTGCCTGTACTCCTGTTGCTTTATTTCTGGGCTCTGAATTCCGTTCCATTGTTCTGTGCGTCTGTTTTTCGGCCAATCCCAGGCTGTTTGGATTATCGTAGCTCTGTAGTATAATTTGAAGTCAGGTAGTGTGATACCTCCAGTTTCATTCTTTTTTCTCAGGATTGCTTTGGCTTTTCGGGGTCTTTTGTGGTTGGTTACATACAAATCTGTTGATTTCTCATTCTGTTTCTTTAAAAAATGACACTGGGATTTTGGTGGGGATTGCATTGTATCTGAATATTGCCTTGGGTAATATGGCCAAATCATATACAGAAATAAAGAGTCAGAATTCCATTTGCTAATACTCCCAAAATGGAAAATATATTAAATGAAATTACCTGAATAATAAGATAGACATATGGAATATGTTTGAGGTAGATTGATAGTTATAGAAGGAAATATGCATGTTGATAGGTGGGTATCCCAATGTCCCGTGAGAAGATGGCTGTGTGGTCATGTGACTTGCAGTCCTTCCTGTGGGAGGAGAATTCTTCCCACAGACTTCAGGCTTGGTGAGTGGCATGTGAGCCGAATGGTCCTGTCCCTTCTCTTGTCTTTCCTGTTCACTGAGGAGCTAGAGGGCTCACGTTGTGGCTTCGTCTTCACACCGATCCACATTTTCAATGACCAGAACTTCTGGATTCTACCTTTTAATACCTTTTGAGATAACACGTTACTCAGTTCATGCTTCTGATGACCTGGTCTGGCCGCCTCTGCTGAGCACAGCGGGCTCTGCGTGTTCCCTGTGAATCGGCTGCGTCTGAGCAGAGCAGCTTGATGAGCAGCCGCCGAGTGGGGGTGGCTGCCCGAGACCACGGAGCCCACGGGCCTGACATCCCGCCTGGCCTTCCAGGTAAAACTGGGCGACTCTGATCTGGCGACTGGAGCAGCTTTTTCAGTTTCCTCTGCCTCTGTCTCCCCTCGCCCCTCATCCTCACCGAAGCGGGCTTGTGAACTTGTTAATGTTTCCACACAAATCCGACTGTTTTTCTCGTATTTGAAACTGTTCTCTGACTTCCTAGTGTCCTTCCGGCAAACTCACATTCTCAGCTTGATTATAATCTTCACTTCTTGACATTCCTTCAGCTTGCGTCATGCTGTGTCCTATTTCTTATGCTCTTCTCGATTACCCCTGTTGCCACACATACCCATGTCCATCTTGGCAAATTCGTATCCATCCTCCGGGCCTCAGGTTAGACCTTTTCCTTTGGGAATCTTCCTGGGACTTTAAATCTGAGTTAGAACGTGTTCCTGAGAGCTGGCCTTGCCTTGCCGCTATTCTCTTGTTCACTGTGTGCCCTCAGTCAGCGGCGACTTCCTTTTCTGGGCCTGGCTCTAGAGTAGTTTGATTCTTTTAATGGCCATACAGTGGCAATTTCAGACGCTGAGAGGTCGAGATGTATTGCAGGGCTTACTGATCTTTTATTCCCTGTTAAATAGAGTCCGTTAGGGCAGTCACACCCCCATGCTTTCATCCCTCTGCTAAAGGTAGGACTACATCGGTCAATTGTTGCAGTTATGTTGGGGGTATTAACTTAAAAATGAAAGGCCAGCCCTAGCCGGTTTGGCTCAATGGATAGAGCAGCCGTGGGCAAACTACGGCCCGCGGGCCGGATCCGGCCCGTTTGAAATGAATAAAACTA